TTTTCATTTTCATTTTCATTTTCATTTTCATTTTCATTTTCATTTTCATTTCATTTTCATTTTCATTTTCATTTTCATTTTCATTTTCATTTTCATTTTCATTTTATTTTCATTTCATTTCATTTTCATTTTCATTTTCATTTTCATTTTCATTTTCATTTTCATTTTCATTTTCATTTTCATTTTCATTTTCATTTTCATTTCATTTTCATTTTCATTTTTCATTTTCATTTTCATTTTCATTTTCATTTTCATTTTCATTTTCATTTTCATTTCATTTTCATTTCATTTCATTTCATTTTCATTTTCATTTTCATTTTCATTTCATTTTCATTTTCATTTTCATTTTCATTTTCATTTTCATTTTCATTTTCATTTTCATTTTCATTTTCATTTTCATTTTTCATTTTCATTTTCATTGTAATAATTATTGTTACTATTGTCTATTATTATATTATCTTATTATTATTATTATTATTATTATTATTTATTATTATTATTATTATTATTATTATTATTATTATTATTATTATATATATTATATATTATTATTATTTATTATTATTATTATTATTATTATTATTATTATTATTATTATTATTATTATTTATTATTATCATTTATTATTATTATTATTTTTATTATTATTATTATTTTATTATTATTATTATTTATTTTCTATCATTATTATTATCATTTATTATTATATTATTTATTTTCATTTATTATGTTTTTTCATTTATTATTTTTTTCTATCATTATTATATCATTATTATTATTTAATTTCTATCATTATTATTATTTATTTTTTATCATTATTATTATCTTTTACCATTATTATTATTATTATCATTGTTATCTTTATGATGATTTTCATTATTACATTATGTTATTCATCATTTGTGCTATTGTTATCATTGTCATTATCATTGTTGTTATTATCACCATCTTTTTTATTATCATCATTTTATTATCACCATCTTTTTTATTATCATTTGTTTTATCATATTTATCATTTTTTATTATCATCATCTTTTTTATTATCATCTCTTTTTTATTATCATCTTTTTTATTATCATCATTATCATCATCTTTTTATTCATCATCTTTTTTATTATCATCATCTTTTATTATCATCATCTTTTTTATTATCATCATCTTTTTTATTATCATCATCTTTTTATATCATCATCTTTTATTTCATCATCTTTTTTTATTATATTTTATTATCATTTTTATTATAATTGTTGTCATTATCATCATCTTTTTTATTATCATCATTTTATTATCATTTTTATTATAATTGTTTGTCATTATCATAATCTTTTTTATTATCATTTTTATTATCATTTTTATATATTTGTTGTCATTATCATCATTTTATTGATCATCATTTTTTATCATTTTATTATAATTTATCATCATATTATCATCATTTATTTATTTTTATTATCATCATTTTATTATCATTTTCATTATTTTATTATCATTTTTATTATCATCATTTTATCATCATCATTTTATTATCATTTTATTATCATCATTTTCATCATTATTATCATTTTTATTATCATTTATTATCATCATTTTTCATCGTCATTTTATTATCATTTTTATTATCATTTTTATTATCATCATTTTATTATCATTATTTATTATCATTTTTTCATATTTTATTATTCATTTTATTATCATTTTTATTATCATCATTTTTATTATCATTTTATTATCATCATCATTTTTATTATCATCATTTTATCATTTTTGTTATCATCATTTTATTATCATTTTTATTATCATCATTTTATTATCATTTTTTATATCATTTTTATTTCATATTTTTTATCATATTATCATTTTTATTATCATTATCTATTATTTATCATTTTATTATCATTTTTTATTATCATTTTATTATCATTATCATCTTTTTTTTTATTATCATCTTTTTTATTATCATTGTTGTCATTATCATCATCTTTTTATCATATTATCATCATTTTTTTATTATCATCATCTTTTTTATTATCATCATTATTATCATTTTTTTTTTCATTATCATCATCATCTCTTTTTATTATCATTGTTGTCATTATCATCTTTTTTATATCATCTTTTTATATCATTATTGTCATTATCATCATCTTTTATTATTCATTTTTCATTATCATCATCTTTTATTTCATCATCATTGTTGTCATTATATCATTATCATCATCTCTTTTATTATCATTGTTGTCATTATCATCATTTTTTTATTATCATTCATCATCTATTATCATTGTTTCATTATCTTCATCTTTTTTTTATCATCATCTTTTTTATTATCATTGTTGTCATTATCATCATCATTTTTTTATTATATTCATTGTTGTCATTATCATCATCTTTTTTATTATCATCATCTTTATTATCATTTTTCAATATCTTTTTTATATATCTTTTTATTATCATTCATTATCTCATTTTTTATTATCATCATCTTTTTTTATCATCATCGTTTTCATCATCATCTTTTTATTATCATCATTCTTTTTTTTATTATCATCCTTTTTTATTGTTGTCATTATCATCATCTTTTTTATTATCTTCATCTTATATCACATTTTTTATTATCATCATCTTTTTTATTATCATCATCTTTTTTATTATCATCATCATTTTTTATTATCATCATCATTTTTTTATTATCATCATCATTTTTTTATTATCATCATTATCATCATCTTTTTTATATCATCATCTTTTTATTATCATCATCTTTTTTATTATCATCATCTTTTTTATTATCATCATCTTTTTTTATTATCATCATCTTTTTTATTATCATCATCTTTTTTATTATCATCATCTTTTTTATTATCATCATCTTTTTTATTATCATCTTTTTTTATTATCATCATCATTTTTTATTATCATCATCTTTTATTATCATCATTTTTTATTATCATCATCTTTTTTATTATCATCATCTTTTTTATTATCATCGTCTTTTATTCATCATCTTTTTATTCATCGTTTATCATCTTTCTTTTTATTATCATTGTTGTCATTATCATCATCTTTTTTATTATCATTGTTGTCATTATCATAATCTTTTTTATTATCATCATCTTTTTTATTTATCATCTTTTTATTATCATCATCTTTTTTATTATCATATCTTTTTCATCATCGATTTTATTATCATTTTTATTATCATTTTTATTATCATTTTATTATAATTTTTATTATAATTTTTATTATCATTTTATTATAATTTTTATTAACATTTTATTATAATTTTTATATTTTTTATTATAATTTTTATTATTAATTTTATATAATTTTATTATAATTTTATTATCATTTTATTATCAATTTTTATCATCATTTTATTATTTTTTATTAACATTTTATTTTATAATTTTTATTATCATTTTATTAAATTTTTTATTTATAATTTATCAATTTTATTATCTTTTATTATATTTTATTATAATTTTTATTAATCATTTATTATATCATTTTATTATCAATTTCATATCATCATTTTATTATTTTTATTATCATTTTATTATTATTATATTTTTATTATCATTTTTATCATTTTATTATAATTTTTATTTATAATTTATTATATTTTTATCATTTTATTATAATTTTTATTATCAATTTCATTATCATTTTATTATAATTATTATAATTTTATTAACATCATTATCATTTATTTTATTTATCAATTTTTATCATTATATTTTTATTTTTTTCATTTTATTGATTATCATTTTATTATCATCCTTATTATAATTATTTATTATCATTATTTATACATTATTATCATTTTATTATAATTATTTATATCATTTCATTATAATATTATAATTTATTATTTTATTATATTTATTATTATTTTTATTATCATTTTATTATTTCATTTTATGTATAATTTTTTATTATTAATTTTTATTATCAATTTTATTATAATTTATTATAATTTTATTATTTAATTATCTATAATTATTATTTTTATATCATTTATTATTATCATTATTTATCTATCGATATCATTATTATCATTATTATCATTATTATCATTATCATATTATTTATATTATTATCATTATCATTATCATTATCATTTATTATCATGATTTATCATATCATTATTATTCTTATTTATTATCATATATTATCATTATTATCATTATTATCATTATTATCATTATTATCATTATCATTATATTATTATCATTATTATCATTATTATCATTATTATCATTATTATCATTATTATTATTATTATCATTATTATCATTATTATCATTATTATCATTTATCATTATCATTTATTATCATTATTATCATTATTATCATTATTATTATCATTATTATCATTATTATCATTATTCATTATCATTATTATCATATCATTATTATCATTATCATTATCATTATTATCATTATTATCATTATCATTATCATTATTATCATTATTATCATTATTATTATCATTATTATCATTATTATCATTATTATCATTATTATCATTATTATCATATTATTATCATTATTATCATTATTATCATTATTTCATTATTTATCATTATTATCATTATTATCATTTATTATATCATTTATCATTATTATCATTATTATCATTATTATCATTATTATCATTATTATCATTATTATCATATTATCATTATCATATCATTATTTATCATTATTATCATTATTATCATTATTATCATTATTATCATTATTATCATTATCATTATTATCATTATTCATTATTATCATTATTATCATTATTATCATTATTATCATTATTATCATTATTATCATTATTATTCATTATTATCATTATCATTATTATCCATTATCATTATTATAATTATCATTATTATAATTTTCATTATTATAATTTTCATTATTATTATATATTTTCATTTATTACCATTATAATCTTTAATATTGTTGCTGTTATCATTATATTCATTATTATTGTTAAAATTATCAATATCATTTCCATCATCATTATCGTTACTAAAATTAACAACAAACGTATATTCGATCCCTTTAGTCACTGGCGTTCCCGAGCGGGTGAGGGAATTCCCCGCGCCTCTTCTGCCCAAGCCCCAGTTCCTTGAGCGAGACGTACATAATCCGCCCCCCGCTCCGCCAACCTCACATTGACTGAGTAAACCATTCGCCTAACATGTTCTCCAGTGATAAGGTCAAACTGAGGTGGTCCGATCATTCTTCCTTCTTCGCTAAGGGTCTGGCGCCGTTTTTGGAGGAGGAGGCCTTCCATGACGTCTGCATCGCCTGCTGTGACGGGACCACCCTCGGGGCCAATCGCCTTGTCCTCTCCATCTGCAGTCAGTTCTTCAGGCAGACTCTCACCCTGTGTAAAGAAATGCGTCCCACGATCTTGCTGCCTGATACGAGTGCGGAGGACATGATGGCTTTGCTAGAATTCATGTACAGAGGAGAAGCTTACGTCACGGAGGAGCGCGTCCCATACCTTCTGATGGCGGCGAGGAAGTTACAGATCAATGGCCTCGGGGTTGCATCTCCTCCTCAAACCAGCATTCCAGTAGAACCCGAAATGACACCTCAGCTAGTTGCCAGTGATCTCACAGATGGCGAAAGACATTCGATGTTGTCGACTCCAACCAGCACCCAGTTATGTTCGACTCCTGGCCTTCCGTCTCCCCAGCAAACTCACTCACCGACGCCAGTTTCTACAAGATCTAGATCAGTAAAATCGTCTAGCCAAGACAGGGTGGAATGTGAGACGTGTCACAGGCTGATATTCTCCACCAGTATGTACCAACACAAGCGTTATCACCACGGCCCACTTCGGGACCCTGCGAGCTGCTGTGGACAGACGTTCATCACTCGCTGGGATCTGAACGTGCATCGGAAGACCTCTCCAAATCACAACGAAATGTTGCCCGAGGCTATCAGCAGTCCTGAAGAACCTCTGATCATGAATGAATCTGAATCCTAAGTAGTGTTTGTATGAATATAAGTTTGTTCCTGTAAGTAAACGTAAATGTGATATGCTAGTTTCATTGCTCATTTACCTTTCAGTATATTCGGTTTTTGCACCGTTTTGTTTCATACAACCATTTTAAACCGATACTACGATTCTCCTTTGAATTGATATAGTAGTTATATTCTCATATTCTGTAGGGATTTTAACCAATTTTAATCCAGCAGGGTTCCATGAAATTTACTTTGGGATTGTCGATGCAATTTAGACATTTTGCAGCAGTTTTTTCATCATACCTGGCATTAGTTATACAACCTTAAGACCAAGCAAGTAGGAGTAGGACTGTGTATATTAGGCTCTCTGCACCATAAAGTAAGTATTTACATAAGAGCATTGCTTCTAAGTTTTCTTTCTTTAAAAGATTAAAGAATAGACGGTGATGAAATATCTCTCATGATAGAAAATTTAGTTAGAAAAATAGGGGAAAATGAAATGTCACACATGATACAAAACTATTTTCATTTACATGTAAAAAATAACATAATTATTTAGCATTCTGCCATGTCACTGAAAGATGATCCTTAAATAATTATATATATATCACAGATAATTTGTTCCTGGGATAGAATTAGTTCATCAAATCATTTTCCCTAAGTAATGGAACACATCAATATTTACATTTGAACAGTATGAATATGATCTTAATCGCAAAGGCAGATCTGGTCAAGGTCTGGAGTTCCACACAAAGAATGCATGTAAAAATTGAAATGATTACAATTATAAGAATTTTGAATTTCTATACTAATTACCCAGTCTTACATATTTGATTCTGGAAAGTTTATACAACTTATATCTTCAGTAAACTAATAATTATAGTTCCAGTATGCTTAATTAAGGTCTGGAACAACATGTACCACTGGTCTTGATTCTGGAAAGTTTATACAACTTATATCTTCAGTAAACTAATAATTATAGTTCCTGTATCTAAAGAAAAGGCAAACATACAGAGTCTGGTGTTTTTTCTTATGTACAAATACTGTGGCTAAAAAAAAGGAATCCACTGCAGTACCATCTTCAATTACAACAATTGTTCAACCTTTCACAAAAAAGGCTTATTTCACACATCTCTTTGAAATACACAGACATATCCCTATCTTCAAAACAATCTCTGATATGAAGTAAGAAAACAAGGAGGGTTTATCAATAAACACTGATGAGAAACAGGGAAACAGAAAAAAAAAGAGAAGAGGCATTATCAAAAGCCCTCATCCGAGTCCTCGGCCAAAACCCTGTCATGACCGGGTACATCTTCTGGGTTGAATGTCGACTCAAAGCACCGTTGGAAGATGAATTTTTTCGCTCTCTTAGCCGGTGGTGTCCCAGGAATGTCCTCCTCTTCTCTCTCACCTTCGTCCCCATTCAAGTCGGGTAGGGTCATCTCTCGCATGGACATGTTTATGTGGGACGTGTTGCCATTTGTGGTGCTGGCCCTTGCAAGGCGCAGGGGAGAGGAGGGTAGGATGGGCTTATTCTCTAGGCTGCTCTGACTGCTTGTTTGGAGAGCTGATGAGTTATGGGCAGATGATAGGCTAGCTGTAATAAGGAAACATAGTATGAGTGACTTCAAGGGAAATTCAGTATCAAAGAGTGAGTGTGAGGAGAACAAACCCTCTAGAGATGAGAAAGGAGGCACAAATGGACACTAATATAGATAAAATTAAAAAGAAGAATGTGTTCTCATCACAAAGAAAACAAATATGATAAAGATTTTAAAAAATGAAAGACAACAAAAATGAGGGTAAAGAAATAATCTACTAAATCACAGCATTACTCACATTGGCAACAGTTGCTACATCATGAACATCATTTCTTATATATCATACAAAGCCTATCAATTCTGAAAGTAGTTTTATAAAACACCAACCTCTTTTCTCAAAAAGACGACTTGAAACCTCCCCAATTTGATCTGACCTCCGTAAAGTTGATTGTTCACTTCTCATGTTATCAAAGGTGGAATTTTGGCTTCTATTTATGGAGGTTTGTGAGCTTGAACGTATCCTAGGAACTGTCTTTGGAGTGTGGGTTGTTTGTGCAGTTTGTTTGCTTGTGCTTTGACTTCTAGAAATCTGCGAATCAGACTTTTCTGCCAGGGTGGCTAGGACAAATGTTCCTTCAAACATTGGTCTGTTGTCCACAGTGAAGATGATAGGGCTGGAATGAAGGAGAAACATTTTTGAGGATGGAAGAAGGAAAGAATGACTCATCGATACAATAAGCGTACACCAGGTAAAAATGTACACATAAGTATAAGCCTATGTGTGAATGGTTGTGTATTATAAAACAACATTTTAAGTGCATAAGCAGGGTTGCATGTCAGCAGACTGCTTTATTAAATAAATCTGTCCTTTCACTGCATAGTTTTATATAAATACTAAAGTATATATAATATATATATATATATATATATATATAATATATATATATATATATATATATTATATATATCAATAAATAAAAACAAATAAATATACAAAACAAATAAACAAATACATCTGTGTGACTAACCTCCCAGGATTTGAGAAGTGGCATGTAACAGGTAGATTAACCGGTTCGGCGAAGGTGAGAACGGCTCTGAACTCCTTCAGGCAGAAGGTTACCTCACCTTCACCTGTGATATTGTACCTGTCAAATTCACCAGCCTCAAGAGTAAGGACAGTGTGAATGGCCTTTGCAGGATCTGAAAGTAACATGATTTGTAACTGATTACTTGATAAAAGCTTCTAAACTTATCTGGCTACTACTTTCATCTTCCAAACAGAAGACCCTCAGAAATAATTTGGGGTGTATATTACTAGGTAATAATGAATACATATAATCTAATACAAGTAATGAAAAGAAAAAAATAAATTATCTTGATACATTCTCCAGCAATATATAGGTAATTTAGTATATCTATATGTAACAAGTGTTTATTTCAAAATGTTGTGGATTCATAAGTTATGTGTTTACTTAATCAATTTTGTGATTCTAGCTTTTTTATATGTGAACCTGAAAAATTAAATAGCAATCTTTAAGTCTCCAACTTACTGGCTAGAGAAAAGTTTATCCTTCTAAAATAAATTGATAATCAATCAACCAGAATTAAAGTTGATCTTTGTGGTATATATGAATCTATACAAGTTCTTTTCTGAATTGATATTTCAATAATATAGCTATGTAGAGTATATGCTAAATGCCTTGCAGAAATGTCAAATTCATGCACAATAAAAAACATTGCCCCCAAACCCTTCCTAAACAATGTAAGGTAACACATCACAACAGTGTATACCTGGTTCATCTTCGACATAGTTCCTAATAATGATCTTCTCAGGTGAAACACAGAGTGTAACTTCATCCTGATTGAGCTGGAAATTCAGAACAGCATCACTTAATACTCGTGACTGGCTCTGGATGTAGTTTGGGCAAGACTCTCTGTCAAATACAGCCTGTGGAAGGGGGATCAGTATTTCAAAATTAATGAAATCCACAAAATCATAAATTCTAGTCACAGAACTTATCAAAAATCAAATTTACCAGAAAAAAACAACAAATAAAAACAAGAAAAAATAATTTGAAACCGAGAAGCCACACCTGAAGGGTCTCACACTCAATGAAAGAGAGATTGTAGGTCTTGTTGATTCCATGTCGGCAGTTGAGTTGGATTCCTAGCTTGTCCTCTTCACCATCCAAGGTAATTTTACATCGTTCAACAGTGCGCTCTAATGTAGCCAGTGACTTGAAGACATTTAAGCATGCCTGAAAGATGTCATGCTTACATATATATATGTCAACAACTATATGTTATCAACAAAAGATGAGATGTGATTTCTCATTGTAATAATATAACAGTTATCGATGTGGAATATAGCTCTTGATTAGGAAACTGAGTTTTAGACTGAAATATTAACCCAATGGTGGTATGATTTCTTATCATAAATCCAAACCGAAACACATGAGCTGTAAACAAAACAACAGAGAGAAACAAACAATTCACCACATAGCTTTCATCTTACACATGTTTACAGTCATACATTCGTAAACTCACCTGCAGACTCCCTTGACAATTATTACTTCATGCACTCTTTCCATTCACACTCACTTTGTCTAATAAAAAAAATTACCTTCATGGCAACTTTGCATTTGACCGTTTCCTCCCCAGCATCCTTTTCTTGGTTGAGAGATCCATCATCATATTGTGAGAAGAAGCCTGAGCTGAATGTGTACGATGCAAATGCCGAGCGAGAGGAATTGACAGTTCGAAAGGCAACACCTGCAACAATAACATGTATATAGTATTGGCAAGTATATCAAAGGTACACCAATTAAACTACTGCCAAAGGACATAGTGTTTAGCTATCAGTATTAGTTACATATATAGCTAAAATTTCCTGGCATAAAATCAAGCCCCATATGAATTACTGTCACATATTATGAATTCATCAATCACATGAAATTTTTTCAAAGGCCATGAGAATAGCCCAATTTCTCTTTCCATTCCTATCTGCTAATGGTACTACAGTTACATCCTTTTTATCACTCAAATACTTAGCAAGCTTAATCTAAATACACTTATAATGAACCCTCATATAAGATCCAGCCCATCAGAAGGAAAACAACAGGTACATTAATCCAAAGGCTGATTTGCCAATTCCTTCTAAATGGCATATGGATATCATTAACCATTTTAACTAATTGAAAGGTATTTGTTTATCAAAAGAATATAAGTCACAAAAATACACAGAGATTTACTGTAACAGCATATCTATTTACATTCTCATAATGAACTTATTTATAATAGTATTAAGTTATATAAAGAAACACTTTATTTTACATTACCCTTTGAACTTGGTTCTACATATAATTCTTCTCCAATCTTTGCTAGGGAATGAATTGCTCTTCCAAACACTGAAAAGAACAGAAAAATATCTTACATTTTGTAAATAGATTATGATCCACTTGAAAAAAAAAAAAAAAAAAAAAAAATGAAGACTTTATATGGTATTTATATACAAAATGTTAATCTACAAAAACAGACCCTTTGTTCATATTATGGATGAATTACAAAAATGATACATGTCTGAAGTGGATCTTGGATGCATTTATATATGATACTGTTACCCATGTATTCAGTTCATAAGGTAGTAAATATATGTCAGTGTATTGTTACAAATCCTATGATTTTAGAGTTGATGTAGTCCTGCGTGAAGGACCTGCATTTTTATTAGGTTTGTAAGGGTTCTATATTAATGTCATACTAATGAAATGTTACAAGCATAACCTCGATAAATAAGCAATTTAACTTGCTGATCTTACAGATGCATGTGTAAACAAATTGACATACACTTCTTAACATCAAAAACCTAAAGCACTCATGACTCAAAAAAGAGTTTTGGCTAGTTTTGAATGCTGAACTTCTATTGGTCAATAAAATAAAGAATCCTAGTTTTTTTTGGCTCATGACTCAAAACCTAAAGCACTCATGACTCAAAAAAGAGTTTTGGCTAGTTTTGAATGCTGAACTTCTATTGGTCAATAAAATAAAGAATAAGTGAATAAATAAAAATAGAAATGATAATATATCAATATATGAACAACAAATACATTTTTAGTTGCTTTAGTTTAGTTGCTCCATTAACGATGAAGAAAACAAAACACTCTACCATGGTGGGATAATGGTTGGATTGGTTTCTTTTTTGATGATAAATTACCAAAGAGTTCTACAAGTTTGAAATTACCAGTGTATGTGACTATAGCTGATGTCAATAAACCAGGAACGTGGGGAGCCTGTGGTCAAATGAGAGAGCCATGAGGTGTCCATGTAAGCCAGTCAGGTCTAGGCAGTGAGTCGCAAGAAGCGGTTACTGACGAGTGAGCAAGAACTAGGCTGTGGATCAGGTGTGCCTCAATCTGGCAAATATGTGGAGCTGCAGGTTGCTGGGTCATGATGCTAAAGGTACTCCCATTCCCATGTGTGAGCTAAGAGAACTAACAAAATACCATAACATATCACCCCAGTGTAACCAGTATAGTAGATGTGGTATGCATCTAATACTTGAACAGGTCTAAACCTCTTTATAGTTTTCGGAGTGGGTGTGAATTCCCACTGGTATGGCTGGGTGTTGGAGATGAAGTGGAGATCAATCGGCAGCCAGAGAGGCTCCCCTTTGGCGAAGGACTGGGCTGTCAGTGTGTTGTTGCTGCTTGTCGTGGTACTTTTGGTGGATCGAGGATTGCTGATCTCAGTTTCGGATTCTGGGGCTTTAAAACTTTGAAGCTGTGTCAGCAAACTGGGAATGAGGGGAGCCTGTGGTCCAATGAGAGAGCCATGAGGTGTCCGTGTGAGCTAGTAAGGTCTCAGTAGTGAGTCACGAGAAGCACCTGCTGGTGAGTGAGCAAGGACAAGGCTGCAGACCTGGTGTGATGCAACCTGGCAAGTATGCGGAGCTGCAGATTGCAGGGTTGTGCTGCTACATGACAATGGTTTACTGATTATCACAAAAGCATGAAGCACTGCAGCAGCACTGGATAAACTATTCAGCACAATGAGTACATACATAGGGCATCAAGAGAAAGAAACAGGGGGCACCACAGAATACTGACATCATGGCTGTAAGTAATTTTGGGGATTATTAGATACACAAAATAGGTGTAATGGCACATTCCAATAGTATCTAAACTGTATGAATCTGTTTTTCATATGTTCTTTATTGCCATTACATTTGATTACGTCAATGTCTGCATATTCCTGTTGTGGGGAAAATTTAGATAAAAAATAGACAAATATTTATCCATCACTGGCTTTGCTCCATCAAAGGCCAATGTGCCTCTATCCTATATACTCTCTCAAGATGGAGCTTTGCAACTTAGACTCAAATTAATAACAAGCTCTACTTTGCAGCGGTTTGTTAGTCCTTGTCAACATTCAGTGGTAAAGCAATGCTTAATAACGTGTTGCTATCATACTGCACTGTAGCCTGTGTTATCATCAATTAACTTATATAATGTATAATGATATATCTCTTGAAGTATTGGAAGTATCTACTGATAAAAAGAGAAAAGTCAACACTGTATTAAAATTATTGATAGCAATACTGTAATTCTTTACAGTATGGACACACTTGCCTTAGACTAAGTCCCCACTTCTACATCAAAATTTTTATTCATCAATCTAAGTTGCCATGACTGTGTGTGCCCTTTGGGTACTGCCTAGGGGGAGGGTTGAGGGGGGGCACCGTTCCCCAACATCCCACCGAGAAACCTCGTCTTCATCTCCGTATCCACGGCAAGATAGAGCTGAAACTCAGGAGCACCGAGTGGACTTCGGCCGAGAGCAGCGCTTTCTAGGATTTTTCCTATATTTGTGGCATTAACGTCCATGTTTGCAGATAATTTCTTGCATCGATGACTGCAATATTTTGTCCTTTACAAGAATATCATATTCAAATTGCTGTAACTCAGTACATCCATACTATAAATATTAACCAGCAATACAGATCTATCCCACATATTTGTCATACCTGGTCGACGTATCATCCATGCAAAAAAAAATTTATATAGTGGTCAAGGAATGTTCACTACCTAATATTTTCAAAGTATAAATCAAATCACATACCCATCCAGACTGCTACTCATAATTTCTTCCAAGTGCACTTTTCAGTTCAAAGAGTGCACAGGGTATTGTAAGTGTGTTCTTTTTATATACTTACTTTAGTTTACGAGCGCAATTTAATTTCAGTATCACTGAAGTTGAAATATTACATTTTTGAAGGTGAGACATGACTGTGAAGGAGCAATGACCACCGACTGTTTTTGTTGTTTGATATCCGAGGAGCACACGTTATTGCCAGAGGAGTGCACATGAGACAGAAAATTATCTTCCGAGACCAGTTTGTAAATGTAGCAGTCTGGACGCCCTTCAGCATATTGGTATAATCTATACTAAACAGTATATTCTGAAAGCTGCTACTGAATATCAACCTCTTGATTATCAAAAAATGTTTGCTGGTGCAGAACTTGTTTTCTGGAGGATATGTAGGCCTACATATAGCTATAAAATAAAAATATAATTATTTAGATCTTTGTGATATAGAGCTATTAATAAGGAATGCAAAAATACAAGTCTCTATAAAAAGAAAAAAAAGTAACTAGTGCATTTTTCTACTTATAAGACTGACAATAAAAATCACATTGTGATTTGTGTTGGGTAAACCAAAATACTGATATCAACAGTTTATTCACAATCCGTAAAATACATTTCTACCTTCCTTACCACACTGACATAATCCCAAAGACAATAATCCTTCACAAAACAATTAAAATCAAGTTTATAGTACGGCATTTTATGAGCTGGATATCCAGCTCATAAAATTTCTTTATTTGTATTACAAAGTAGTGGCAATGTTTCGCTATCATATGTACACAATAATGACTTTTAAATTACCCTTTATATTGATCCCTGGTATAACACACTTCATCGTCTATTTGTCGTATAGAACAACATAAAGGAAAATATTCTTGTAACTTGTAAACACAAGTTTGTCTTCAAAGTAGTAACTCTTAATGCCGGGTCGTGTTGTCTTTATCTGTTAATTCTTTTCTCTTTGTTTTTTTACCTCATTTTCTTACTTTTTAGTACTTTCTTATGAAAAATACGATTTTCTTATTTACTTTATATACAAATTTACAGAGACTAGTTCGTTTATTGGTATTAAAGCTAGTACATAAGCTGTAAATAAGGGAATTTTTTACTATCATGTTACTGAAAACTTATGTTGAACAACTTAAAATTCATTAGCCGCTGTATTTACACATATGTATGCCTTCTAACTAAATAATTCCTTACTTCAATAATAATAGTATTAGTAAATAATATATTAATCTCGCATTCAAAACATATCAAGATAATCCTTTTCTGATAATTTCCCCTGCTATAATCCTCCCTACCCATCATAAAAAAACATTAGATATTTCATCAAGTATGATGTGATTATCAAATTAAACATATTTCTATCGTTAGTATCATAATTCAATCAAAATGCGCTGAAACTTATTCCTGATTATCGAGAGGGAGGTGCGACCAAAACAAAGGCATCAGCTGATCCTCCCACTTGTCAAGATGGTTAGTATTTTCCGGCCTCATTTTGGTCTATTTTCTCGATATTTCAGTCGATTTTGACATATTCTTCCGAATTGCAAGTTTAATTTGAAATATTATAATGTCAGCAAGTTGTTTGATAGTGTACTGTAGTTTAGGGCGTATGTTGATGTGAATGTTCTCGAGATCGTTGTTGACTTGGGGGTGTATAGTGTTGTTCTTCTTTACTTGAAAGCCTATTTACCAATATTTTTTTTTTTAATGTTGGTTTTCAACATAGATGATATTTCTTTTTTAAGATGTGCCTTACTTTTTCCGAAATTTATATCCTGCGTTTCAGTATGAAGATGATAATTCTCTTGTGCTTTCTTGCTCCTTACAGTTTACATCCTGTGACATTCAATGCTTCACTAATCTTATATCTCTGTTAGTAAAGATTCACAATAGGACTTTGCAAAGATAAAGGAAAGCTGGTATTGTTTTACTCTTGGGTGAGCGCAAATTTTCTGGGCAAATGTAATACTAGATTGGTCAACAAATGTTAAGACAAGTATTAGGTAGCCATATCTGTTGTATATTAATAAAGATGTTTATTATTGTTACAGAAATGCATTTGTAAACATATGTATGTATGTGTGTTGGTAGCAATAGAAAGCCTGCTAGACCACTTTACATGATTGGTTGGCTGGAAGGTGGTGTTACTCCAGCACTTTGATTGGCTCGCTGAATGTGGCTGAGTGGCAGTGTGTGCGAAAGGGCATCAGTCAGGAGAGCGTGTTCTGTAGCTGTAGCTGTGCCTTTGATTGTATTGCATTCTGTAAGTAAGAGTGAGTGTGTGATCCTGTTGTGTTGAGGAGAGGTGGAATAATGTGCGAAAGCTATCTCTCTCTCTCTCTCTCTCTCTCTCTCTCTCTCTCTCTCTTCTCTCTCTCTCTCTCTCTCTCTCTCTCTCTCTCTCTCTCTCTTCTCTCTCTCTCTTCTCTCTCTCTCTCTCTCTCTCTCTCTCTCTCTCTCTCTCTCCTCTCTCTCTCTCTCTCTCTTCTCTCTCTCTCTCTTCTCTCTCTCCTCTCTTCTCTCTTCTCTCTTTCTCTCTTCTTCTTCTCTCTTCTCTCTTTCTCTCTTTCTTCTTCTCTCTCTCTCTCTCTCCTCTCTCTCTCTCTCTCTCTCTCTCTCTCTCTCTCTCTCTCTCTCTCTCTCTCTCTCTCTCTCTCTCTCTCTCTCTCTCTCTCTCTCCTGTCTCTCTGGGGTGTGGGTGTGGGTGTGGGTGGGTGCGCGCGTGCATGAGGTGACTGCCTTTCCCTGATGTGACTTGTTCTTGACAATAAATTGTGGATTGCTCCCTGCCTGTCTTTTCACATCCCGTAAACGTTTCTTAGTGCCCTGTGTACATGAACACTCATCAGAGATAGCTTACAGAACCCAGAAGGACAGGCGGTAAAGGATAACATCCAATGATACATTATGTCACTCATGAACCAGCAATTGAAGATGGTCACTCAATCACCTTTGAGCCATCCATGGTAAAATGCCACAACTACCTGCACTAATACACACACCATATGTCATGAGTAAAATTTTACCAGTAAAATATGCTAGTCCTCATTAACCATATACCACTGGGGATGCATACATGCTTTGCTCACTGTGTTTTTAATTTAGTGATTGCTTTTACATGTAAATGGCTCCACATGTACTAGGTCTTCAATGAGCCAGTTACAAGAACTACCTGTCTCACCCGTTTACCCTTTTCCTTGATTTTCGATCATATTTTATAGTATTTAATGCTGCCATTAGTAATATCAATGACAATATAGTAATCATAATGTTTATAATAGAAATGGAAGTATCAATATTGATAGCATTAGTAAAAAAAAAAAGAAAAGAAAAAAAGGCATTTTCCCACTATTTCAAGGAAAGCTGAGGTCTCAAGATGTACTAATTGACTCCGGTGTGGTTAAGCACTGGCAGAGCCATCTGTGTGCAGAGACATTTAACAAAACAATACTAAAGTGAATGCAACATTTTCCTGGCAGCATTGGGTAAATTTTGTTTTTAGTGAGAAGGAGCATGCCAATTGCTTGATAATACTACTGTCAGTTATGTTATATGCTTGCAATGCTGAATAACTTTAATCTCAGAATCAATGGGTCAGATGCAACTCTGATACTGCTGTTGCCAAACACAGGTATGTAAAGATAGTTACTTATAGGTAGTAACTACATCCTTCCTCCCTCTCTCTTCCTACCCCTCTCCCCCTCTCCTCCCTCTCTCTCCCGTCATTCCTCTCCTCTCTCTCCCTATCGCACTCTCTCGTCTCTCTCTCGCTTGGCCTGATCTCTGGACGACCCCTCCGTCTCTCGCACTTCAGTCTCGCTCCTCTTCTCTCTCTCTTCTCTGATTCCTCGTGTCTCGTCTCTCCCTATCTCTTTCTCTTCTCTTCTTGGATCTTTATGCTCGGCCGTCCTCTCTCTTCTCATCTCTCTCTCTCCTCCTGCTCCACATCTTTCTCCCTGCCCCCACTGCTCTCCTCTTCTCCCTCCGACTTCCCTCCGTGATCGTCTTGTCGCAGCCCTTCTCAGCGCTTTCTCGCACCCGTCCCTCCGGGCTCCTCCAGTCTCTCCACCTCGCCCTCTTTTTCTTCTTTTTTTTCCCCTTCCCCTCTTCCACCCCTTTTTTTTCCCTTCTTNCTCTCTTCCTACCCATCCCCCCTCTCCCCCCCTCCCTCCCTCCCTCCCTCTCTCTCTCTCTCTCTCCTCTCTCTCTCTCTCTCTCTCTCTCTCTCTCCTCTCTCTCTCTCCTCTCTTCCTCTCTCCTCTCTCTCTCTCTCTCTCTCTCTCTCTCCCTCTCTCCTCTCTCTTCCCTCCCCTCCCTCCCTCCTCCTCACCTCCCTCCCTCCCTCCTCCCCTCCCCCTCTCGCCTCCTCCCTCCCTCCCTCTCCCTCCCTCCCTCCCTCCCCTCTCCCTCTCTCCCTCTCCCTCTCCCTCTCCCTCTCCCTCTCCCTCTCCCTCCTCCTCTCCCTCTCCCTCTCCCACTCCCACTCCACCCACTCCGCACCTCCCACTCCACTCCCCTCTCTCCCTCTTTCCCCTCTCTCTTCCTGGTTTTCTCCATCTTTCTATTCATTTACACTTTTCACACTCCATTTCCCACCTTATGTATCAACTCTCTCCTTCCACTTTCCTCATCTAGGAATATCTTTTGACCTCTTTAATTTTACAGTTGGTACTCGTGCTTGGAGATCTTCATATCCCCCATCGTGTCAGCTCCTTGCCAGCCAAATTCAAGAAGTTGTTGGTACCAGGACGCATTCAGCACATTCTGTGCACGGGAAATCTGTGTACAAAGGAAAGTTATGACTACCTCAAGACTCTTGCTTCAGATGTACACGTTGTCCGAGGGGATTTTGATGAGGTAAAGTTTATTTTCCTTCATTTAATTCAGCGTTTCCCAACCAGGGGTGCTTGCACCCCTTGGGGGTGTGAGATAGCATCTTGAAGACAAGCAATTTATCTATTTTTTACTCATACTCAAGAAACAGGAAGAAAAGAGCCATTGATTTGAAAATTCATTTATATAAACATTTTGAAGTTGGTTCTTTGATTATTACATATAGATATTTCAAGCAAGTGATTATTTTTTATAGGCTTTATTCAAATAATCAGGGACATGTTTTCTTGTCCATATGTTTGATTTTTGTTAACATATTAGAAAATGAAAAAAAATATTTTCTTTTGTTTATCAGTTTTAGCAAAAATTACCTTCTTTACCCTAAAATAAGGTATAAAAATCTAAAGGGAGTGCGAGGACACAGTAAGGCTTACTTTCCTCATGTACTTTTCATTTTCTCTGCTAATTTAATTATAGATATTATTTTTATATATTACATCTTTTCATCTATCCATTCCAGACAAATTATCCTGAACAGAAAGTGGTTACAGTTGGTCAGTTTCGAATTGGGCTATGTCATGGGCACCAAGTTGTACCATGGGGAGACCCAGCTGCACTATCTCTCATTGCAAGACAATTAGATGCAGATATACTCATCTCGGGTCACACACACAGATTTGAAGCCTTTGAGGCAGAATCTCGCTTCTTTATAAATCCTGGATCAGCTACGGGTGCCTACAGTGCTTTAGACCAGTAAGTCGTGTTTGTTCATGTATGTACAGGAAATTCAATTTGTATTATTATCCAAGGTTTGTTTTAGAGTAGGCATATTCAAGAAACACACATATTGCTTTAGAAAGGGAAACTGCAGAGTTTATTTTAAATATTGCAACAATTGAAGGTTATAGAAAATGCTTAAGGCTTGTACTGGGTTCTTCCTTGTGAATTCTAGCTTTAGATTTTTATCATTACTGTCACAATTTTCTATTTAGAGTAAAGTGATAATGCAAGTAAAATGATGAGAAGGAACCAAATCCATTGTATGAAAGGATTGTGAATGTGACATGTGT